AAAAAATTGTTTTTAAATATTTCTTAGATAAAATAAAACTCAAAGAATTTTTGAAACATATATTAGATGGTATAAAACTCAAAAAATTTTTGGAAAATATTTTTTAGATGTTATGAAATGTTGAAAATTTTTTAAAAATAGGTTTTAGATTATAAAAATATAGAAAATCGCTTTCTTAAAAATTTTTGTGGTCTGCTAAACAATACAGAGAATCCAGATTAGTTAAAATAAACTTTTTTAAAAGCTACTGTTGCATTCTATTTACTATGTAAATTCTTGAATTGTACAAAACTAATTTGGTGTTTTGTTATTTGTTTCAGGTAAGATCAAATTCATGGCTTGAGACAAAGGTAATAGGTAATTCATTTGTGAAACAAAGTTAACTAACCATCCAAGTGGCCCTAAAACGATTTGTTCTTTGAATTTTAATTATAGCAAAATACATAAAATATTGCAGGAGAAATAGTTAATTATTATGATATAATGATTATATTATATCTACAACTAATGCCGGAGCCTCGTGATAGGCAACATGTTGCACTCAGAAGTCAGCGTGAAAAGCAGTCTTTCTCTCTACCATAAGTCATAAGTGACGGTAAACAAAACGAATTATGGTTAAAAAGAGGAGTGGTTGACTTCAAAATATACCTAAACGTGTTTTTAAATAACAATTGTAGTAAATATTTGGATATTCATCGAAAGTAATAAAAGTAATCAAGTCATCGAAAGTAATAAAAGATAATTAAAAATGGTTACAAATAATGGTAACTCTATAAAAAGAATTAAAAAGATGTACTTATATATGTTAATCTAAACATTAAATAAAGTTAAACAAAGATAGAATTTATGCCAAGGGATGCAGATTTAGTCAATTTAAATTATTTATTATTTTATAGTAAAGTTAATTACACATATTCGTAATTTAAGTTAGATATTCACGTACATATACAGAATTGTTCATATTATACATGCATTTTATACTTTCTTACGTCTAATCCATATCAACAAAAATATTGATACACATTTGTA